ATCTACTGGTGAACATTACCCCAGGAACTCAACATTCAAATCATGACAATGACTCAGTCCTCAGAATGGGTCCCAAAAGACCATTCCTTTACTCAGCCACTAAGGAACTGTGGAACTGACACACAACTTTCCCCCTCTCATTGTTTTCACTTCCCATGAGCTCAGCATGAGCTCAGCATGAGCTAAGCCAAGAGTGTACTCCTCCCCTCCAGACCAAAGAATTGCTGGGAGGAGAAAGAGGCTCTTTACAAAGTCTCTTATTCCCCTGTAAGGTAGAAGCTTGGAATAGGTTTCTCATTTGATCCTCAAGCTCAGGGACAAGTATTGACCGACAGATGAGCCACAGGGTAACTCTTCTACTCAGGACACCTTCCTGCACTCTGCTCCCTTCTCCCTTGCAGTTCAATAGGCTCTGCAGATCACTCTGATCAATGTCTAATCCCATCCTTCACACACATAGTATTTGTAGTAGCGGTGTGCTCTTAGAAATCAGGTATCAATCTGTTAAGTGAGCAGCTTCCGAGCTCTGAGCATCCTGAGGTAAGACATTAGGATAGAAAAGAAATATAGTGATATCTAGTAATTTCTTGAAATCTTTTAGCAACATCAAAATTCAGAATGCCTGTAGAAACTAAGGATTAAGGAAAATATCCAAATATTCAGGAGTTTCTGAGTTGCACATACAATTAAACAGAGGTGCTGTAGAAGTGCAGTTCTCTGCACACATGGGGTCGCCATGAGTCAGAACTGACATGACAGCAACTGTTTCCTTTGTAGGTGGACTCTTGTGTGTGTATGTGTGTGTGTGTGTGTGTGTGTGTACCGTCAAATCAGATCTGACTGGTACAGGAGGAGATTGCCCTTCCTTCTCCAGCAGAGCATCTGGTAGATTTGAACCATGCACTTCTGGGATTGCAGTGCAGCTTCTTGCCACTAGGCCACCAGAGCTCTCTTGGTGGACTCTTCTTTATATTTTAGTTCATATTTAACATACAATTTTAACAGGGTTACTTATTTAATCCTCTATCTCAATGAAGGTTAGAAGGAAAGGGTAGATAGCCAAAGGTAGACCCAGTAGTATCAATGAAAAGTGATGGCAGTAAGAAACAATAAAATAGGGCATAGTAGTGGGAAAAAAAGACAGAAATCACCTTCCCTTTCACCACATTCTGCACAGCCAATTCAACAAATAAAATGATCTAGAGGCTCAACACAAGAACAATACAGAACTCAAACTCCACAGTAATTTGTTGTTGTTGTTGTTGTGTACTGCTGAGTCAGAACTGACCCACAGCTGACCCCTCTGGTAGTTTTTCAGAGGCAGTTAATTGCATGAGAGGTGACTGCCCATCCTTCTCATGCAGAGCAGCTGGTGGCCTCGAACTGCGTGCCTTTGGGATAGAAGTGCAGCTTCTTGCCACTAGGCCACCAGAGCTCCTTCACAGTAATTTATGAACATGTAATATAAAACTAAGCAGCCCCAAATGTGTTTGATATACTTGAGAATATCACTATTACTAGAGAACTCTCAAAAACCTCATTACCGGAAAAACCACACTATTATCTCTCCTAGCTGGGGTGTGCAGAATCTGAGCAATCTTTTCAAGTTTTTTTTTAAAAAAACCTGGGCAATAAAAGCTAATAAAACTCAAGAGCGGCCAACACCACGAATGAGTGATCAGCTAAAAAATAATACTTTAAACTGGATTTTAAAGCAAAGTTTATATATGGTACAGTGTTTAGAACTTTGGATAATATAACCATGGATTGACAAAAAAAAGTAGGGAAATAAGGCCAGGTGTGTCAGAGAGAGTGAGATTCGCTCAGGACAGAGCAGGGTTCACAGCTGGTGTGCATAAGGTCACTCTGTGTCATAGTCGACTCACCTGTACATAACAACAACAACAACAATCCTTCCATATACAGCAGAATCTGATTAAATGAAACTATTTTGGAGCCTACAGGGAAAAGCTTCAGTTTTCTATTGACTTGGTTATACTATCTGTCCTAAGTAACCAAGATCAAAGTAAACAGGATAAATGAGGTATGCCAGTCACAAGAAGTGACAGTTTCTGCTTTTGAGGAAAGCAGACATGACGCAACTAGGCTACCCTGATGCTGTGATATGATGTGATTTCTATATGATTACAGACTTGAAAGAACACATAAGCTTGCTGGGCTTCTTTCTACCCACCCATTCTTGACCCGTATGCCTCAAAGTCTCAATGCAAACTCCATTTACTCCAAATTGTACAATTTTCAAAGATGGTAATGGAGCCTTCAGCCACAGTCCTATGTTAATGCTGACAGGGGCCTTTCTGAAACAGCTATCTTTCTGCATTTGGAGAATGTCTACAAACTATGACCTTTCCAGGAATCCGAGAAGACTCTGACCTGGTATCAATACAATCTCTCCACCCACAATAGAAAGGATTCTGCAAACAGGGGCTGTGAGAGAAAAAAATGTACTCAGATGGCAAGGGTAGCATCTATGCAAGTGGGAATAAGGAACATGAGTGATGGAAGGAAGCTCTGGTGGTGTAGTCCAAAGGCAGTTGTGAGGTTCAGATCCTTAGGAGAAAGAGACGCAATCTTTTCCCATGGTATTTACAGCCTTGGAAACCCACTAAGAGTTTGGATAATGTAAGTATCCTTTCCAAAGCTATTCCACATACCAAGAAGGAAATAGCTGTTGAGTGGCATCCAACAGCAGAGGCACTGGTAAGTATTTACAACAAAGGAAACTCTTAGGGCAAAGGACTCATTCAGTGAGACCAAGCCCAAAGAGAGGTCCCAAGAGTTCCAAGATCCTGACCCAACAAATACTTTGGGGTCTCACTCTCTGCTTTCCTCTGTTGTATTCAAATACAAATTGGGTAAGTCCCAGGACTTGAAATTTTCTCTAGGGCAGAGAGTTGAAATAGTTATATAATTAAAACTTATACTCATGGAGCTCTGGTGGCCTAGTGGCCAAAGCTGCACTGCAATCCTGAAGATGCACAGTTTGAATCCACCAGGTGTTCTGCTGGAGAAGGAGGGACAATCTCCTCCTGTGCCAGCTGGATCCAATTCGACAGTACACAAAAAGAAAAAAACAAAAAACCCCTTATACTTGCAAGGTGTTTTTAATGTATTGAATGTAACTGCTTCTGTAAATGGGAAATATTTTTAGAGTATGTTTCAGCGCACTAATTTATGAGAAATTTTCAATTTTTTCAGTATCAATAAATACATTAATAAAAAGCCACTGTTACTGAGTTTATTCCAATTATAGCAATCCTATGGGACAAGGTTTGCTTGGCTCCACAATCAACACGCTTAGTACCAGTAGCCAGAAAATTAAAAGAGGACTTGGATTGGGAAAGTCTGCTGTCAGTGACCTCTACAAAGCACTGAAGAACAACAATGTCAGTCTGGAGACTAAGGTGCACCTACCAGTCCATAGTCTTGCAATTACTTTTCTGTATCAGAGAGCTGCACAATGACTAGGGATGATAGAAAGAGAATTAATGCTTTTGAACTGTGGTGCTGGAGAACAGTATTGAATATACCATGGACTGCCAGGAGAACAAATTCGTCCCGGAGAGGGTGAAGCAGGCTGCTCCTTAGATGCCAAGGATTCTGAAGCTTCGTCTGACATACTTTGGGCATGCTGCAAGGAGGGACCAGTCCTTGAAGAGGGACATCATGCTTGGGAGGGTGGAGTGACAGCACAAGTGAGGAAGACCCTCAATGAAATGGGTTGATTCAGTGACTGGGGTAATGGGGGTAGGTGTGTTAGAGACAATAAGATTGGCACAGGATAGAGCAGGTTTTAGGGTTGTTGTACACAGGGTTGCTATGAGTTGCAGGCGACTCAAAGGCATATAAAAACAACAACAACATGGGACAAGGCAGAATTGCGTCTTTGGACTTCCAAAACTGTAACTCTTTCTATGATGAAGCATCTGGTGGGTTCACACCGTTGATTTTTTTAGTTAGCAGTCAAATACTTCAAATAACTGTACTACCAATCACAGACCTCTCCAAAGTACTAAAGAGCAATGATGTCAATTTAGGGACAAAGGTGCACCTGATCCAGGTCATGGTCTTCACAATTACTTGCTATGCATCAGAGAGCTGAACAATGACTAAGTATGACAGAAGAAGAAACAATGCTTTTGAGTTGCTGTGCTGGAGAAGAGCACCGAACCTCTAAGAGAAAAAAAACCCAGTCTGTCCTAGAGACCATGAAACCAAGTTTCTCCTTAGAGGCAAAGATTTTGAAGCTCTATCTTACACACTTGGGCATATTGCCAGGGGAGACCACTTCTTGGAGAAGGACATCACGCTTAGAAGGGTGGAGGGACAGTGTGGGAGGCGAAGACCCCAGATGAAATGGATTAATACAGTAATTGGGGCAATGGCGGTAGGTGTGTCAAGAGTCAGTGAGACTGGCTCAGGACAGGGCAGGCTTCAGAGCTGCTATACATAGGATCGCTATGAGTCAGAGTCGACTTAATGGCATACAACAACCACCAATCACAAAGAAACACCACCCCAAACCCACTGACCTTGGGTTGTTTATGACTCAGAGCCACCTCATACCACCAAAGTTCCTAAATAAGTCAATAACCCACCCCACCTCAAATTTGGGTAAAATAAGTATTTCAGAAAGGTGAACTCATATGTCAATGTGAAAAACAAGGGCCTAAAGAAACCTTCACTGCTTTACAAAATCTGTTCATTTAAAATCTCAAGAAACTATTAAAAGGAAGGCTTGCTTTTGCTATATCTTACTATACTTTTAATGGTTATAAAAACGGAAACAAACTATACCAGAAAAATGTTTAAGTCAGTTTTCTCATAAGTCCACAAGCCTGTTTAGTTTCCAATATACTTTCATGGTGATGGAAGTGAGAATAATGTCACCAGTACTGGACAATACACAACTCGCTCTAAGTTATAGGAAAAGAAACAGACATTTTAGAAAAAGGTTTTAGAACAAGCATAAGACTTACTTTAAAGTCAGCTAACTGCTGGTTGATGACGTCCACTTCCGTTCCCACTACCCACTGGAGTGCCTCTCCCTCCTCGGCTGCTGTGGTCATGTCGTTGAGTACTTTCAATTTTCTGTAGAAGTCCTCAACTCGGTCCAACGTCAGCTCCAGCTGTTCCTGACGAGCTTTACCCCTCTCTGTCAATTTGCAACACTGCTTATTCAGGGCTTCTAGCTCCCTCTTGAGACCCAACAAGTCCAGAGTCCCCTCTTCTTCAAGCATTTGTCGGCACTCTGTTTCAGAAGCCTCTATGTCTGACTTCAGGACTTGGATTTTGTTAAGGAAGAGCCGCACATCCTCAATTTGGGACTGGAGGCTATCAGTGTCTCTCCCAATTGCACCCATGCCATCGAGCTCATCATCCAGGTCTGCCAACTGAGAAAACATCTCTCGTACTCGGCAGTGAAACTGGCCAATACCCTCCAGCTTGTTTTCCATCATCATGCAACCACTGTTCACTCTTTGCTTTACTTCTAGAAATTCTTGTTGGGTGACTTCAGCTTGATGCAGAAGTTGAGAAGCATCAGATCCATCTGGAGCATCTTCCACCAGGCCCTGAGTGAAGTTCCTCAGATAGTCGACCTGAGGCTCCAGGGCTTGCAGCACTTCCTGCTGGGCTCTCAGCTTTTCCAAGTTCTTGTTGCTACAGGCTTGAGATCCTAGAGCATCAAAAATCTCAAGCTGATGTTTGGCCCCTTCAACCTTCTTTTCAATATTCTTAAAGCTTTCCTGGAACTCCTTGAGCCTTTGTGTCATTTCTTCAAGTGACCCTGATTTGGCCTGTAGTTCTTCTGTAATCGTATCCATGTGCTGGTTAATCCCAGCTTTCTCATCCCGGATATCATCCTCATCTGTTTCAGAAGAATTGATCAAAATGTCAGCAGCACTGTTCAAGATCTCCAGCAGGGAGCGATGCTTCTCCACCTCACTCAGCATAGCCTTCGATCGCAGCAGACTGGATTCTAGTTGTACTGGATCCAGAGTGACCTGCAGGTCAGACATCTTGGCTTTGCAGTCCTCTATCCACGGCACGAGGTTTTCCACATGCCACTGATATTTCTGAGCTTTCTGCAAACAGTCCTTGAGCCTGGCTTGTCTGTCTGCAGTTTTTTTACTGAGCTCTTCCCAGTGGCTTTTGAGATCAACCAACTGGTTTTGAAGAGTCCTTTTCTCTTCTCCAGGAGGCACAGAAAGAAGCAGAGCTTCTCCTTCAGCAACAATCACCTCATAGGAACCACTGTGTTGGTTAAGGCTCTTCTGAAACTCTTCATTCTCCTGAAGCTGAGACTGGAGTTGCTCCAATTTTGCAGAAATTGGACAGTTTTTTGCTTGCTGGTTTTGTTTGTCATCCAACCAGGTCCTCAGCTCATCAAACATTTGCTGGAACTGCTGGGTGCTGGCAAGAGCTGATTGGAGTCTGTTCATGCGATCAGCTGAAATAGGAATATGAAATTTAAATCAATCAAGCTTGAGCACAGCATACGGTCCATTTTAAGGGAAGAAGATCAACATTTACTGAGGGTCTATTGTAAAAGAGGCACACAGCTACATTCTGTATGTACATACATAACTGTATGTTTTCTAATATTTGTATCAATCTCTTATGGGAATCTGAGTAACAGAAGTGAATTTTTACTTCTAAATTGGTAAAAGTGGAAGTCATAAGTGTTTCCAGAAAAAAAAGGCAAAAAATGAATAACAGAAAACATATTCTTGTACACAGAAATCACATGAAATTGAGATATGTCCTAAATTTGTATAAGGGGGGGTGGTATGATGTAGGGTCTGTGCCCATGTGTGTGAACATAAGGAAAAAAATAGGTATCAGTGAAAACATGTATGTAATTTCACCTGTAAGTACATACATGAACATGACTCTATAATTGAATTTTTATTTGAGATTTTTAATTGTTAGTGCTCAATCAACATATCTTACTTTAGCTGAAAGAAGGGATATATTAGCACTATTTTGAGCTCAAAAGCTACAAAAGAATAATCTCAGGTTAATTTTTAGTGTTGTTGAAAACAAAGCAAAACACATCAATTATTTCTGCATGTTCAATTCAGTGACAATGATGACATTTTTGAGTTGCCAACCATTTTCATCCTCTTTCCCTGAACTGTTCTTTCTCCATTAACATAAACTCACTGTCCCCTAAAGTTTGTAGTTAATCATGAGTTGCTGCTATCACTTTAATCCCATATAGATCTTAAAAGAGCATAATGCTCAAGGCAGATATCTGTTACTAGTTAAGCTAGATGACTGGCATTAAGCACATTTCAGGGGACTTTTTAGTTTAAAGTTTAAAGATTAACCCAGGAATAGTTTTAGGGGTTCACCCAGCCTCCAAGGATTCAGAGTTTAGAATCCATGAGACTTTAAAATTCAATTCTACGTTTTGCCCCTTTTGATCAGGATTCTTTTACAGAATCTTTAGTAAAAGTGTTCAGTAATTCACCCTGGTTGAGACTACTATTACTAACCTACCCCTTTCTGCTTGCCATTAATAATGGCAGAAATGTGCTGCTCATCCTAACTCACCTGCAAGATCTTCTAAACCTTGGAGAGGCACAGCAACGGTCTCCAAACGCTTCTTCAGCTCATCCTTGAGGTACTGCTCACCAATGAGCATTGAGAGATCATCACACAGTGTCTGGGCCTCCTTAATCTCATTGTTTAATTGCTCCAAATCAGATCGAATCTCACTCGTTTCCTCCAATTGCTGTTTTACAGCCTCAGGTTGTGTGCTGATAGCTGACTGGCCATTCAGTCGCTGTCCAACTGCCTTTACTTTCTCTGATAAATTCCGGAGCAATTCCTGGTACTGAGTGCTTTTGACAATGGCTTGATCAATTTGGCTGGAACGAGAATTGAGTTTTTCCGTCAACTCAACCCATTTTTGATTGATGATTTGGAGTTCTTGCCGTACTTGGCTGGTGGATGGAGAAACATCTCCAGGGCCAGTTAGGATGCCCTGGGCTGCCTCATTCAGCTGCTCCTGCTGTTGCCTACGTGCTTCGAATTCCTTCAGCATAAACTGAAACCAGAAACAACACCAACATATTTAGAAAGCAAAGTGGAATCTAATAAAAGTGTCAAAACAAAAACTGATTTTGGACTGTGCCAATATTACTGACTGCTTTTGAAAACTAATCAGAAAACTCCTAAAGACTAGGTTATAGCCAAAGCAATATTGCTCAGGAAATGCTTACTAAAAAGGTATTGCAAAAAGTCTTACTATCCCCATTTTGTGTCTTTGTTTATCCTACTCTGTTTCAATATTAGTTGTTAAGGATAATCTAAACTAGTAAACTGAAATTTGTTCCCTAGATTGGTTTTTTATCATTTTTGCCATTAATTCCCAGTTCTCTAAACTGGAAGTTTAGAACTCTGGATCTTAGAGCCAGTTACATTACTAGGTAGGCTTGTTATTTTTACTTCTCAATGATTTTTTTAAACCTCTATTTTTCTTAGCTTCTTGGAATTCCAAAAGCAAATATATGTATATTAAAACAAAGACTATGCTTTATTTATTCATTTATTCTTTGTAGTACTCATCAAGAAAGTTAGGGTTATGCACTCTGGAGTCAGACTGGATATAGCTCTGCTTTTTACTAGCTGTGTAAACTTTAGATAACTTTGTTCAAGCTCTCCAAATCTCAGCCTCCTTATTTGTAAAATAAGGATAGTAACAGTACTAAACTTGGCTGTTGTAAGGGTCAGATAATTTATGGAAAATGTCAGCACTTCTATCGTATAAAAACAAAGGAATAAACTCAAGGAAAGAGAGATATGTAAACAATAAATTAAAATGTACCAAAAGTGAGGAAGAACTCATAAAACACTGATGTGAACATGGTAGTGTGAAAGAGTGGAAAGCGTGATTAATTCTGCTAGGATGACAAAGGGTAAAAGTGGAAAATTTGGAAAATTTTCCTATCAGTGACAATAAAGAATAAGTATTCCTCTAAACAGAGAAAGCTTAACAGGAAGGCTGGTGAAGAATATCTGAGAGGAGGCAAAGGACAGAGCTATACTAGTGTTAAGTGTTTCAGTAAAGAAAAATTAATCTGGTGTGTGTGGAAATGAGGGTATATGGGGAATAGATGGAAATGAAGTTGGCAAGACAAAAACAAGGACCAGATTTTAAATGGCCTCCTATACCACACTGAGAAGGTATCTGAACTTTATTCAATAGACAGGCGAAGTCACAAAAACATTTAAATATACTCAGATATGTGATTTAAGAAGATATTTTTATAATTATGTGGCAAAGAGACAAAAAGAAGATTGTAAGGAAGCTGTTGGAACAGTCTTTAAGAAGGAAAGAGCCTAAATAAAGAAGCAGCAGAGACAAGAGAAGAGTGAGGGATTAGAATGGTGATTCTCAAAGCACAATTAAAGAGACTTCTGACAATCCTTAGACCTTTTCAGGGGCCCAGGAGGTCAAAACTATTTTTATAATGATACTAAGATGCTTTTAAAGATTTTTGTTTTGTAACAAGTGTACAATGAAGTTTTCTGGAGGTTACATGATGTCTGATATCAACTGATTGAAGGCAGAAGCATAGATGAAAATCCATGCGACTCAATCAAGCCAGACATTAAGGACATTTGCATATGATAACACTATGTCATTCTTTTTTTTAATTTTCTTTTATTATTTTTTTGTGTGTACCGTCAAATCACATCCGACTGGTACAGGAGGAGGGCATTGCCCCTCCTTCTCCAGCAGAGCATCTGGTGGATTAGAAGTCATTCTTAATAGTAAAGATATTATGTTTCCTAAAATGTTACTTGTGCTCAGGCTGTTCATTCATAGGGTCACTATGAGTCGTCTACGACTCGATGGCATTAAACAACAACAACAACAAAATGTTACTTAGGTTAACATATGGCTTTATTGTTATTTAAAAAATGAATTGATAAATACATATTTTTTAAATATCTCAGCATTTTAAGATGGTCAGTATCAACAGATAAACACAAGTTGAGGGTTCTTCAATTGCTTTTAAGAGTGTAAAAGGGTTTTGAGACAAAAAAACTTGAAAGCTATTTGATTATAAGATTTGACAATAGACTAAGTGTTGTTTGTAGGTGCAATCAAGTTGGTTGTGACTTACGGAGACACTCAGGACAGCAGAACAGAACACTGTGCCATCTTCACAATCACCCATAATGACTGAGGACCACTCTTGGAAACAGTATGTCAGTCTTTCTCTCTGAGAGTTTTCCTCTATTTTGCTGACCCTCTAGAGTAATTGTAAAGATCATGGCCTGCATCAGGCCCACCTCAGTCTTTAGACTGACACTGTTGCTACTCAGTACTCTAGAGAGTCCCTAACAGCAGATTTTCCCTCATGCAATTATCTTTTGACTTTCCTGACTGCTGGTGCCAAGAGTGCTGATTATGGAGCCAAGCAAGCTGTAATTGTTAACAACCTCCATCTTTTCTCCATTCACCATGGTGCTGCCAACTGGCAAAAGAAGAATTGTCTTTGAGTTCTTGTGCTGGAGAAAAGTCTTGAACACATCATGGACTACCAAGAAAACAAGTAAGTTTGTCTTAGAGACGGTGAAACCAAGTTTCTCCTTGGAGACTAGGATTTTGAAGCTCTGTCTCACATACTTTGGGCACATGGCCGGGAGGGACTGGTCCTTGGAGAAAGACTTCATGATTGGAAGGGTGTAGGAAAAACACAGGAGAGGAAGACTATATAAGATGGAATGATACAGTAACTAGGGCAATAGGGGGAGGTGTGTCAGAGTAACAACTGAGACTGGCTCAGAACAGGATAGGCTTCAGAGCTGTTGTACATAGGGTTGCTATGAGTTGTAGTCAACTCAATGGCACATAACAACAACTACTTTAGAGTAAATAGGACTTAACAACTAATTGTATACTGAAAAACAAGCATACTGGCATAAAAAATATAAAAAAATCACTCTAGATCTTAATTGAACACAATTAATGGTTATGAGAGTTGGAAAATTGGTGAATAGTGAGAAGAAATGGAAAAGTTTTGGGGAGGATGTAGGTACTACACACTCTGCTTTTAACTAATTAATCTGTTTTGTCCAAAATTAATAATAAAGTATAATCTTGCATATATTACAGCTTTTATTCTGTTTTGGGTTCTATATTCTCATCTTGCCAATTTTCCCATAGATTTGCTGGCAAATATTATGTTTATCAGTTTCCTGGACTAAGACCCACTAGAACAGCATTTGCAAGTACTTATGGATGAAAAGAAGGAAACAGTTCCATGCAGGATTTCCTTGGAAATAATATATAGCCTTAGACAACTGGGACAATTTTGAACTATCTAGATTTCTTGAATTAGTTTTATCAGCAGAAAATCATTAAGTAAAGGCAGCAGATATTGTATTATATAATAAGAATAAAATGAGTCAAATAACAAAATAAAGCCCACAAAAAACTATAGTACATTCACACAATGGAGTACTATGTAACATTAAAAAGATAAAATCACATAAAAAATAAATAATATAGACTAGTATCACAAGAGATCAAAAGTAAACTATAATTCAAGAGTTGAGTCAGAAAGAATTTCCCATTTTCATATCCACTCATCTTACGGTCATGTTAATGATTTTAATGATAAATTATTATCTTTTTTTTCTTTTTAAGGCACTATGTTAAGCACTTATATATCCCCTTTAAAGTGAGAAAACTGAGACTCTTAAGAGGTCAAATGACTTTTCTATGGTCACCTGAAATCTACTTGCTGGAAGCAGCATTTAATTCCAGGCTCACATCACTCCAGTTTTTTTGCTCTAAAATATTAACTATTGCTCACCTGGACCTGTTGCTTCTGTGCATTTAGCATGTTGGGGTCAATAGACAGTGGACCCAGCACTCCCATCATCAATTCCTTCTCCATGAGCCAGGGCCGGAGCTGGGATTCTGCAGCCTGGAAGCAGGCCAGATGGCTTGCTGATTCCTCTAGCTGCTTTTGCCGAGCCATAGTCACCTCTGTGGCCCTTTCCCATCGGGAATCTGCAGAAGGGAAATCAGAGAATGCATTCCTTATTCTCATCAGCAGTTAGCCCACTCCCTAAACTATGTTCCTAATATAATACAGGAAATGACCTCTGGAGTACTATGTAAAATTTTTAAAAATGAAAAGTAATCACTTTTGTCTTTTTAAGTAAAACAATAATATAAACAGGTCTGTGTTTTTATTGTGGTAATAGCTAAGAGTAAACTATGTTACTATTGTTTACTGCCATGCAGCTGGAACTGCATTATGGCTGACCCTTCAGTGGGTTTCTAATTTACACAAGAGGAGAATGCCCATCTTATTTCCATTGTGCAGAATAGTGGTTTAAAATTGCCTGCCATTGGGTTGCTAGTGTAACTCACTATTCACTAGGTCACCAGAGCTCCTTAAAATGAAACTACACATGTGATAAAATTGCACAGAACAACATACACACACGCTTATGTGTGAATGAGCTCCTCTGTGGATTATATCATTGTCAATTTTTTTAAAATTTAAAATAAATTTTTTTTTAAAATTTTATTATTTTTGTTGAGTGTACAGTCAAATCAGATTTGACTGGTACAGGAGGAGATTGCCCTTCCTTCTCCAGCAGAGCATCTGGTAGATTTGAACCATGCACTTCTGGGATTGCAGTGCAGCTTCTTGCCACTAGGCCACCAGAGCTCTCTTGGTGGACTCTTCTTTATATTTTAGTTCATATTTAACATACAATTTTAACAGGGTTACTTATTTAATCCTCTATCTCAATGAAGGTTAGAAGGAAAGGGTAGATAGCCAAAGGTAGACCCAGTAGTATCAATGAAAAGTGATGGCAGTAAGAAACAATAAAATAGGGCATAGTAGTGGGAAAAAAAGACAGAAATCACCTTCCCTTTCACCACATTCTGCACAGCCAATTCAACAAATAAAATGATCTAGAGGCTCAACACAAGAACAATACAGAACTCAAACTCCACAGTAATTTGTTGTTGTTGTTGTTGTGTACTGCTGAGTCAGAACTGACCCACAGCTGACCCCTCTGGTAGTTTTTCAGAGGCAGTTAATTGCATGAGAGGTGACTGCCCATCCTTCTCATGCAGAGCAGCTGGTGGCCTCGAACTGCGTGCCTTTGGGATAGAAGTGCAGCTTCTTGCCACTAGGCCACCAGAGCTCCTTCACAGTAATTTATGAACATGTAATATAAAACTAAGCAGCCCCAAATGTGTTTGATATACTTGAGAATATCACTATTACTAGAGAACTCTCAAAAACCTCATTACCGGAAAAACCACACTATTATCTCTCCTAGCTGGGGTGTGCAGAATCTGAGCAATCTTTTCAAGTTTTTTTTTAAAAAAACCTGGGCAATAAAAGCTAATAAAACTCAAGAGCGGCCAACACCACGAATGAGTGATCAGCTAAAAAATAATACTTTAAACTGGATTTTAAAGCAAAGTTTATATATGGTACAGTGTTTAGAACTTTGGATAATATAACCATGGATTGACAAAAAAAAGTAGGGAAATAAGGCCAGGTGTGTCAGAGAGAGTGAGATTCGCTCAGGACAGAGCAGGGTTCACAGCTGGTGTGCATAAGGTCACTCTGTGTCATAGTCGACTCACCTGTACATAACAACAACAACAACAATCCTTCCATATACAGCAGAATCTGATTAAATGAAACTATTTTGGAGCCTACAGGGAAAAGCTTCAGTTTTCTATTGACTTGGTTATACTATCTGTCCTAAGTAACCAAGATCAAAGTAAACAGGATAAATGAGGTATGCCAGTCACAAGAAGTGACAGTTTCTGCTTTTGAGGAAAGCAGACATGACGCAACTAGGCTACCCTGATGCTGTGATATGATGTGATTTCTATATGATTACAGACTTGAAAGAACACATAAGCTTGCTGGGCTTCTTTCTACCCACCCATTCTTGACCCGTATGCCTCAAAGTCTCAATGCAAACTCCATTTACTCCAAATTGTACAATTTTCAAAGATGGTAATGGAGCCTTCAGCCACAGTCCTATGTTAATGCTGACAGGGGCCTTTCTGAAACAGCTATCTTTCTGCATTTGGAGAATGTCTACAAACTATGACCTTTCCAGGAATCCGAGAAGACTCTGACCTGGTATCAATACAATCTCTCCACCCACAATAGAAAGGATTCTGCAAACAGGGGCTGTGAGAGAAAAAAATGTACTCAGATGGCAAGGGTAGCATCTATGCAAGTGGGAATAAGGAACATGAGTGATGGAAGGAAGCTCTGGTGGTGTAGTCCAAAGGCAGTTGTGAGGTTCAGATCCTTAGGAGAAAGAGA